TTTATATATCTTTTGTTAAATTTTTTGTCAGTATGATTTTTGTACGAATATGCATCGGTGCGTGTGTGTGCCTCTAGTGTTATTATTTCGCAGAACTTAGCCGTTCGTTATTATTACGCCGATTTGTTTTGCTTAGCTTTTGCTCCTAGGAATGAAATCAATTTCCCGCGGCCGGAACGCCACTTGTCTTCTTACAAGGCACTTCGGATGTGAAATTTATCGCGACCGCGACCGCAATGGACTGAAGAGAGTTGTTGCTCCTCTCAACGTTCCGAACTCTGTGCCCAGTTCCTTTGATTCACCTGCTCCTTTTGTAAACGCGGGGACGATCAAGGATTTTGTCTAAGCATAACTGATTAAAGACAAAACTTTAAAGAGTGGATCATGGCGAATAAATAAACTATAAAAATGTAAGTTAGAATATTCGGGGTGTGAAGATTCCTTTTCATTGTTATTAGAAACTCACAATTTTTCGTGGTCCGCTTGACCAATTAATATCATCCAATTAATTAGGGTTTTAAGTTGAGATAAAAAAGGAAAAATGGCAAAAAGGAGGGAAAATTCAAAAGGTGGAGTTGAGATGGGAAGTTAGTGCTCGAGGGGATGGAGGTCACGATAGCTCAAGTGGTAGAGCAGCGGCGTATCTAGCCGAAGATTGTGGGTTCGAATCCCGCTCGTGCCATTGCCTTTTTTATCTCAACTAAAAACCTTAATTAATTGTAATATATTAATTGGTCAAGCGGACCACGAAATTAGTGCACTTAATTATTTAGTTGTTCCATCAGTGGAAGTGCAATAGTTTACGGAATCCCTCGGCACATTTGATTCTCCAATGTCCGGGTGAGGGCAGCATGGAAAAGATATGTGTGATTCCAGCTGGTCAATATCAAATCTTTGCCCTGCCGCGAACCATGAATGTTAAAAGGAATTTCGTTTGCTAATAAGCAGGCAGTTCGATGCAATATCTACCTGCAATCCCTGGTTAATGTGATGTCATGAGTTGCTGGATTTTGTTAACCTTGCCTCGATTGTATTTCTCATTGAAGATCTCGAACCACACAGTCACTCCAACAAGCACAAGCAGAAAGGCGCCTTTCGTGCCGCCAACCCCCATTGAACCTTCGTGTGCGTGCGCGCGCGCGCGCGCGTGTGTGTGTGTGTGTTTTCAACAACATTTTTAACAGTCAATATTATTTTGAAAGTCTTGATTTCACATGATAAAATAATGCTTTAACCCCTTAAAACAATTCATTACAAATTATTAATTAAATTATTTAATAAATTTAACACTTTGTAATCAATAAACAATAATATAAATTCGAACATTTACCGGACGTATTTTTTATTAAACAAATTGTGCACAATTTATAAGTTTTAACTTCTCATTTATTACTTAGTGTTGCAATTGCAAAGAAATAAGCAAAATTAGTACCTTATATACAATCTAACTGGCAGTTTGAATAAACTTTCAGCTTTTAAAATTCCATTGGGTGTGTCAATGTGGTTACTCTAGCTTTTCAAACCAGTTCTTTTCTAAAAAAAACCAAGGTATTTTTAAGTATTTGGACATCGTACTTTATCAAAAAGCTCAACATTTTTCGTTACCCATGTAAATAATAATCTGAAGAGGCTTGAAATTGTTTTGAGCTGAGTAAGTTTTAGGCTTGTTATAACATTATGTAAATGAAGAAAACCCCTTTTTTATGGAATAAACAACGGGCATGGTCTAATTTCTTCATTCATTGGGCAACACCGAACACCGCCCAAGCCGACTGCCCACCTGAGAAAATCAGCTTTGAAACATTTTCGAAAATAATAATTCAATGTTTTCCAAAAATAATCACTAACTGTTTTGTTTCAAGACAATTAAACGGTTTCACGCCTTCTACTTGATGTCCTTGATCTTGCAACTCGACAACTAGACAGATTCTATTTTGAATATGCATTTTTTTGTGCTTTAGCTATGTGCTGCTATATATGTTTGCGTGTGGATTTAATTTAAGTCAATTTAGACAAAATAGTGGTTTTTTTTTTCAATTGTACAGCCTTTTATATAGGAATCCAGTGTACAACTAACTTAAAATGCACATTAAAAATAATGAATCATTAAAAGGAGCAGCTTTTTTGATCCGTGTATAGGTAATTTTTTTATTTATTTTAGAACATACAGATGTTGGTTCATACAACAAAATATGTAAATAACGCAAAAAAAATAATAGTAACATAACATTGAAATTATATTAAATGTGTATGTATATAATAAACTAGCAAAAACATATAATCTATAATTAAAATAAATAAATCAAATAACATTTAATTTGTGAAGAGACTATTTACTTTGATACTTTCTATATAGAACATAAAAATGTCATTTATGTTGTTTTTCAACTCACCGGAATTTAAGTCCAATAATAATATTACGTTTAGAATATTAGTATGTTTTAAGTTCGAATGCAAGAAATATTTCGATAAATATTTTTTCTGAAAGAAGTCAAGACATTTAATTAAAAAGTGTATTAGGACATTAGGAGCCTGAAAGGTACATAAAGTTCACATTTTGTCCAAATTTAAGTAAAATTTCTTTCTTTTAAAATAAATACTGCAAATGTAATGATCTGCAGTAATTTTCTCCTAATTCCAAAATTATATTTTGTACCATATTTTAGTGTGGTTGACACTATCAAACGCTCTTTTTAAATCGATAAAGACTGCATAAGATTTTCTATTTTTTTAATCTTCAAATAACCATTTGCAATTCTTAATATTATGAAAAAATTATCTCAACATCCTCTTCCTTTCCTGAAGCCAATTTCTATGTCTGGTAGGACAAATTTTAATTTTAAATTTTGATCCTATTGAAAACGGCAATGCTACGATATTTACATGGGTCGCAAAGGTCTCCTATTTTGTGAATAAGTTTTAATTTATTACATGACCAAAATTTCGTCTGCAGGCAAACGTGTGAATGTTTGCTAAAAATCCCACACCTCTACGCCATTTATCCAATTGACCTTTAATAATAGCTCAGTAATCAATATACATTTTAAATATTTCCATATACAATTGATATCTTAGCCTTTCTATCGTCCTTCTATAATAAATTTGACGTCTTCATAGATGAAAGTTCGGCATTTTTCAAATTTCAATTTTTGATAAAAGATTTTGAGAAAAATCGAGATTGTTAATTAATGATGATTAATTACATTAATACAAAGTGATTATTTTTGTGGTCATAGAATTGTTGTTGCTGAAGCAATAATAAATGTCTTTACTATTGTTGTCTAAGTGCAAATAATATTTTCTTTCGACCTCACTGAGGTAATGACCTTAATGCCAAAAAAGCTAGTCGATAATTCAGAAGAGTGTCTAAAGTGGAAGCAATCCTCTCATCCTTCTTCAGTGATATCCTTTTAAAAAAGGACATTTCTTTTATTTGAAGATGTGCAGAATAATGGAAATCTCGCATTTGACCGTTCCTCCACTTGAAATATACTCATGGAAATACCGGGGGGAAAGTTGTTTTTAGATTTTTGAAAGGATGGAATAAATTAAGCCTTCGGAACAATTATTGACCTGTAGTAGTCGTATTCGGACCTGTCCTTGCTTTCCTAGCCTTTCCTTGTTCCTCTTATGACGGCAGGGAAGTCAGATGTCTCCCGTTGCACCAAGGACGGGGCGCGGTCGTCCTTAACATTCCGACTGCTAGTACCAACGGACGGAGAAATGTCTGGCGGCAAGAAATCGCCTGAAGTCAAACTGTGCTGTAAGCTTGAAAAACATTGAAAGGGAAAAGCACCGTCAGCGTGAAGAAGAATCCTTCCTAAGGATGAAGGATCCTTTACTAATTTTAATCAAACACTTAGTACTGTACAAAATCACACCTGATTTTATGTAACGATGGAAATTAATTTATATTATGTATATACTGCCTTCTGATTGCACAGAAGCGAAACGATGAACTAGCAAGGTAATGCGGATCCAAAGTTACAAAATCTTTGTCGTGTACATTCATTATTCATAAATCCTATCTGATCTTTCCGATCTGCTTATTCTATCTTGCGCATTTTTTCTTCTGGATATACTTCATTGACTATTTTGCCAGTAACTGACCTCTGCTGATCAATATGAGCTAAGGCGATCAAACAGGTTCATCACCTCACTTTAACAAAGCATACCACAGTATACCATATAGATCTGTAGAAAGTTCAATTTCATTTTATTCCAGCTTAATTCAGAGTTCAACGGTTTGAAAATTCTTTACATAATTGTGAGACGAAGGTGTAACATGCTTATGTATTACGTCCAATCCAGTTTAATACGGTTTAAGAACAGGCTAATTACATCATGCGAAGCAAGGTTAACCAATAGATGAAACCCGTTTTTAATTATGTTATTAATCATTCTCTTAATATTTACGTGTCCTTCAAATTATGAATCATCTTTGGCCAAGGGTGGCTCTCAGAATGAAAGATATATTTTGGATTTCATTAAACCAGTACATTGGAAAACATATTTCAAGGTGTTTTAAGATATTATCTTCACATTAAAATATTTCAATAATACGAATCGGAATGTATATAATAGAATATTTTATTATATGAATTTTATTTCTTCGGACGTCTTTTTGTATTTCCGCTTTGTAATTCGTTCTAAGTAATTTAATACGTTGGTGAAAAAATAATAATAAAATTCGGACATTGCTATTATATAACACTTTAGAATTTATTTTTTGTACAGAAGTGCTCCAACGCAAATAGCTATACTAAATAAAATAATAAGTGTTTGAGTGATGGAAGTAAAAGTAGTAAAAAAATTGATACGTATAGTGTCAAATATTTAAAAAATCTCGGAAATAAGGTTGCTATGAACACACATATTTATAAACCAGAAGAATTGTTCTACAGTATTTTTCTTCAGTTTTGTGCCTTTTTACATTAAGATATTTTTAGGTGTTGTTACATTAAGACTATAAGTTCAATGACAAAGGAAAAAATAAAAAATATGGGTAAAACACAACGACTTTATTTTAAAAAACTTACATCTAGAATATTTTACACATATATGTACACGACAGCAGTGCCTTGAAAAAAAATAGATTTATACTAATTTATTTCTTTCCCGAATAGTCTAGGGAGTATGATCCCGAGAAAATATCGAAGGTTTTAACAGAAGGGTGGGTGGCGAATTGAGCAGGGTTCAGATAAGCCTGGGGGTTGAACCTGTGCTGCTGGTACTGCGGCTGTTGGTACTGGGGCTGTTGGTACTGGGGCTGTTGGTATTGGGGCTGTTGGTACTGTGGTTGGGGCTGGTAATACCGGGATTGCTGTTGCGGCTGGTAGTACTGAGGTTGAGGCTGGTACTGCTGGGACTTGTAGCTGGTCTGGTGGTACTGCTGGGGCCTGGAGACAGACTGGGGTGCCGGCCTGTTGTACTTTTCGTCTTTGTAGTATACGCTGGGGTCCTCGCGGTACTGGCCGTCGTCCTCCTGGCCTTCGGGAAGCGCGGAAGCCTGATTCTGTGTGAGCGTCGGCGGTGGCACGTTTATGTCACTTCCGGCAGGTTCGAAACCGCGTTTGCTCGCTCCATATTCAACTTCTCTTACCTAGAAATAAAAATTATATTTTATAATAATGATTGCACAAGTTGAACTACTTTCAGTTTACTTAAAATATTACAACACCGGGATTATTTTAAAAGCTTCTTCCAGGATAACTATTTTACCAATTTAAATAAAATAAACATTGAAAACTTTAAGTTCATCGATGTTGTCTCTCAAGAGTTCAAGAAGAAAATCTTTCATTTTCGTTAAGCAGTGAACACTTTTAAGTTTTGTTTTAAACTTGTGCTTTCCATCTAATCCCGTTGTTGCCTTAAACCAACGCCTATTTGACGAACTGCTAAAAATTATTTTCTATTCATTGAGAATCGTATTGAGACAAAGTATACATTAATACACAAAGTGGGCGACGAAAGATTAGCGGGTTTAAATCAATGAAATTAATCATATTGTCGTTTATCCTTGAATAATAAATTATTCTCCTAATCATACTCTCCTGCTTCGATCCTAGGTGGTAAAAACTGATTTACGCAGTGAAATGTACATTTCTATTTAAAAAATATATTATATAAGAAAAAAGTCTGCAAAATAATTTAAAGCTTGAAATGCCATTACTGTATAAAAACTAACTTATTTTAATAATACATACAATCATGAATATCATTTATGTACTTAGTTTCCTTCAGTTATTTAACAATATCAATCAAATAAACAAATCAATTTTACCAATTAAAAAATACCAGTAAGTTAAAGATCAGGGATGCGGTCATCAAAACAAGTAAGTTTTGTAACTTATGCCAAGCTTTCAACCTTTATTGTGGCATATCTATAACCACAATTGGTTTCCTCTCATTTGGTTACATATATATGTATTATTGTTTTTTACCGATATCGTTATAATTTTTTACTTTTAATATTGTGACTAGTATCCATTGTTATCTGGTAATTATTGTGTTATTTATTATTAATTATAAACGTTGTAATTAGTTGTAGAGCCGTGAAGACGACCTTAATAAAGGTCGAAAGCTTGGCATAAGTAACAAAAGTTACTTGTTTTGATGACCGCATCGCTGATCTCTAACTTACTGGTGATATCCTGACAGTCGATTCATCCTTCTTTCGTCAATTAAAAAATATTTTATTCGTTTATCATTGTAAGATAATGGTAAAGGAGTGTTTCAATTTTTATTTATTAAGTTACAAACTTTATTTCAGCATGAACGAGCTTCACATTCCAGTCCATAACAGACTCAGACCTCGAGACAGTTTTATGTAACATCGCCCCCCAAAAAACCGTGTCGAAAGACTTTTACCGTATTATTTTTTTCAAAATCTTCGGAATATGTAGAAACGCTTTTGTAAACAGGAGCAAACTTAATTGACCCACGGGATTCTCATGTCCCATTTATGAAAGGTGATACGCACGCTTCCTATCTTTTCGTTATGTTTCAAAAGACCATTAATTAACCAGTTGAACTGTGTATTTTTCTTGTATTTTTTATATACATTTATTTTTGCAACAGCATATGTTGCAAGAGTTTTACTATAAACTTTGCGTTATATAACCAAGTGGTTTTCCTTTTATCGGAACGCATAAATTAAAAATCCAAAATCACACACCGTAAAATAATAAAGGAAACGCTATCAAAACTCCGTTTAAATAGAAGCTTGTAAACTTTCCAACTTAGGCAATTTATTACACGATTCAAAAGATCGATTTCTTGCCAATAAAAGTATTATTTTTGTATTCTAGTATAAGTTACGTAAATATTGCGAGATTTCTATGTCATGAGCCTGAAATTTGGTCGTTACCTATCATTTTGGTCTGCCTTGCCTCTGTATTTCGCCATTTTTGTTTGTTACATTTTACGAATGTATGCGAAAATAGATCAACCAAATGATCGGAACGACTGAAAATGTCCAGCACTCCAAAGTCATGTATATGTTTGTATATATGTATGTACTGATAAGAACTTATCACTTAAAAATTTTGAAAATTATACAGGGTGTAGCGTGCTCACTCGCAATGTTAAGATTTTTTTTACAAATTCTAAAACTGTAGTTTTTTTAATCCACATGAAGATTTGTCTGAAATCCATCAGCAATTGGTTTATCATAAGTTATCATAGTTTCAAGATTTACCAAGAAAAATTCTAGACAAACTTTAGAGTTTAGGTGATTTATTTATTATTAATTAATACTTCGTTTTATTTCATTAATGTTTTTATGTTAAATTCGAATTAACATAAATGGATTTTTTTAAAAGCCCAGAGAGTCCTGTGGAAAGCACCTAATTTGACGCAAATGGATATTATACTTTAGGGCTAACAAACAAACATGTAATATAATTGTCACGTTGCATCCATGCTTAATTTATTAACAAACGTCATAGTGTACAAAATACTGGGAAATTAATTATGAATAGCTTTATGTATTATGATTTTGTAGGCTTCAACTAACCTGCGGTTTACTATTTGGAATTATGCATTTAAATTTATCTACCTTTTGTTATGTACAATTTCATGTAATACTCCAAGTTGTTGAATAAAAAACATACTCAATACACATCCACAGATATTTTCTTAAATATTTCCATGACTGATTTTATCGTCAAACGTGTAAGACCGCGAGGATCTAGCATTAAAACCGCTTTGCTACAATTATAAACGCCTAATTATAAATGATCACCTTTCCAGAATCGTCGACGTAACCGTACTTCCCGTAGACTTCGCCGGTCGGGTACTTAGTCTCGATTTTGAAGCTGCCGTCGGCCGCTTCGTAACCGTAGGAGTAGGAACCGTCGTCGTTGTGCCTGTTGATCTGCTTAAGGATCGGCACTGGGGTCGTGTACTGCTGCGCCCATGCTGCTCCTATCAGCAGGCAAGCTGCGAACAACTGAAAACAAATCGTTTTAAATAATCATCTAATTTCCCACGCAATGTTTTATTCGGTTCACATTTATTGTTGTGCTATATTTCGAAATTCAGTGATTACGTAACGGACCTTAAGTGTTATATTATTATTATTATTCAAGAGGCGAATTTTTGGCTTCTAATTAAACATAAATTAACGTAGTAAACTTTCACCTTTTCTATTTGTCAAATTCAATTTTAAACAGAAGCATCAGTATTGTTACAATACATGCTCACTTATTTATAAAATGTATCTACTTAGTTTGTCAAATTAAAGAAGACGCTGTTGTTTGTGAATCATTGATGACAATCAGACTAGTTTAGCACGTGTTACAAGGTTTTTTCGTGTATTTCTTCCTACCCACTATGATCTATTAGCATTTATCCTTGTGACTAAACTGTTGCCGGGACCGAAGCAGGAATGAGGAAATTAATCATATCAATAGGGAATTATTCAATATTTAAACTGCGGAAATTCCAAATCGATGATTGGGTAGGAGAGATTTAGAGGGTCATTAATAAATCAGATCTAAAGAGGCGGAATTTGACTAGTATATTAGTATGCATGTTTTGAATAAGTCACATGTTCTTCTGTTTTTACAAGAATCATAAAAAACATCTTTAGTTTCAAATACCAAAACTTTCTACTATTAGTTTTAGTTCAAATAAACATATGAAATCGTCATAGGTCCATTTACCGGTCCTCACTCGAGCGTTTAATTACCTTAACGCGTTTCGGGCTTGCGCCATCTTCAGTGAGTAACTGTACTGTTTATTATTATTTATTCATAATAACTATCATGCCGTTATTTTTTATTTAAAAACATTTGGTCTGAAAATGAGTCAGTACCGTGGTCATGTAATCTTAGATTTAAAAAAATTCAAGGCAATCTATTATGGAAAAATGTTTATTTACGTTTTTTGAGCTATTTTAGACAAAAATATATGTAAGGCAGAATTTTTTTAAACACACATTCGGTCCGAAATGATAGTTAATATTATATGCATATTATAATCGTGTGGACAACCAATGATTTAATTAGAATTAATTTGTGTGATTTTAAAAGAAAAATAAATTGAAATGTGATTTTTTTTTATGGCGGCTTGTTTCATATGAACGAAAGAACAAGGCAAAGTACAATAAACCAGAAGTCTGCAGAGCTTGGGAATACAAAACATCCGCTTCTTACTCTCCCGTCATAATCATCATCATCAAGAGCTATGCTGAGTGCGAACCCCGGAACACTAGCGTGGCAACTACGTGAGTCGGACGACTGACACTGCAGTCTCCATTTTTCCAATTTTGGTCAGACAAGTTGCGTCCTTTTTTTTTAAGTTTTTATTTATAATATAAGCTCTATCTAGCTGCAAGGTCCAAAAATGAGCAGTCATAAATATACAAAGCATAATCATAAGAATAAACCAAATTAAATGTCACAAAGGTAACAAGATGTATATTAAAATAATATGATAAAAATTAAAGACTATCACGTTAAAAATTCTTCAAAACAGAAACAATTGATAAGAACATTAAGGATTACAGATTTTTTTAAAAGTATATAAAGAGTCTTAGAAAAATCACAGTCTGTAGGAATTGAGTTTCCCAAGAATGCTACCTCATGTAACCATGCGATGGTGTTCCAAAAACAATGACCTCATCAAACACGTTGAGGAACTTGTAGGCCAAGGCATGAGCGAATCTCCAGAAAAGAGCTCCGAGAATTGAGAACTTACCATATGAAGGTGAGACAGGCAACATAACAAAGAGTGAAGCTCAGTAAAAAGAAGCCTAACACTATAGGTAAAGTAATCAGATGCACCCAATTTGAAAGACAAAAGCGTAGCCCTACGCTGAACAGATAAATGTCACTGTTAGTAAATGGATCCCGGACAATACTCAAGATGATTTCTGACCAATGACAGATAAAACATTTTAATAGCGAAGGGGTTACCGTAGTCTGAAGTAAAAGGTTTGACAAAACCGAGATTTTTTAATTTTGTAAAGTTGTACACGTGGTATTTCATACTACAAAAGAGCTTTTCACGTCATGCTTATTCAACGCGATTTTTTAATGAAGGATCGCAACCGGAAGGTCATATGAACCTCCAGGAAGATGGTACTTTTGTAAAAGCCTATGTGTAAATAGGTTGGGTTTGAATTCAGGGCCGCTGGGATTCGAACCTGGGACCCAGTGTTGAGTCTCCGTATGAACTCTCTAACCGTTGCGGCCACCGAAAAATATTCAGTTACTGAATTGTTTTCAAAGAGTCAATTTTTAGAAAATTAGCCATAAAGGACGAAATTTTAAAATTTTCCAAAAGGAACTTTTTGATTATCATTTGCTTTGTTACTCAGACTTATTAGTAGGATTTTAGGTACAGAAATAGAATTTAAAAAATATATATATATTTCAGATATGTTTGTGTAAAATAGGTAGGTTTTCAATATAAAACCAAATATTATTTATTTTATTAATCTAGCGCTGTTATACGCATATACCATATTAAAATAGGTTAATAAAGGTTTGTTTTTAAGGTTATTTAAATATTGCAAAGGCTAACTATATTTTAGGATGGTCAACTGTTTTCTTTAATTATTTGTTGAACTTGTTGTTCTGATCGAATTTTGATGCCAGTTGTTTATTATTTTCAATTAAGAAACTTATTAAATCAGGGAAAAATTCTTGTTTTAGGTGTATTATGGTTGTAAATGAAAAATATCCGTTTTAATTGCATTACGCGCACGCCTAATATGAATAAATGCGCAACATTTCGAAAAGAGATTTTTGTCCCGTATCATTAGTTTGCCCAATAGAAATGTAGGGCGATTTCCCTTGAAATAACCTTTATTTTAAAACACTGTATAAGGTTAATAACTCAATCGTAATTGGTTTAACAACCGTTGTGGAATTCTTTTGTCGAACGTGGCTGGTGGTCGCGGAACGGAGGAATTCGACGGACGGTAAACGTCCTTGCACCGCTCGCCTTATAGGATTTTTATGACGTTGCGAAACCCATTACGTCTACATTATGGGATGATTGTAGTACAAGAGAATTTTCATTTTCGGCTCGGATTTAAGCTGAATCTGAGTTGTTTTCGGCCGAACTTCACTGTCCTCACTACTCGAATTAGTCAGAAGAATCAAGACCAAGTAAAAGAATCAAACGAAATAAACATATATCTTAAGGATTTCGTCGTTGAAGTTGATAGCTTTTCAATCGTAATAAAAACTTGTTTGAAAAAATTGAAAAATATTCCCATTATTTTAGAATGAAAGAACAATTATTTAACGTTTTACGGTACATACCATAGCGTTTAATTATATTATATACTTTCTGCCAGAATATTACCTTCTACATTATTATTAATGTAATAATAACGCGTTATTATATTCAATTTTGTCTTTTAAAACGGAAAATAGTATTATTCTTTTATTCATTGCTGTCCTCCAATTTTAACAAGAAGTTCGGATGACCGTGATATATTTTTTTGAAGTTGTCTCAGTTGTTTAAACTTGAACGAAAATCTGATTAGAATTAGTTCATGATTGATTATATAAATAATCCGTTATTATATAAATAAATTATTTATATATAAGCATATTGCATGAATATGCTGTCTGCTGTCTGCCAAGGATTAAGAAGGACAATTCAAAGTCCCTATGTTTTTCGTACAATTCTTAACTTACTTCGACTTAAAGATTAAGACTTTCAACTTCATATATGACTTTTAACTCGAAAAATAATTATCTGGCAGTATAAATTTATACAACTATATATTTGGGGACTGTTACAAGATTACAAATAATAATTTAAAACTGAATGACAACGAAAATTCAAAACAATAATGAAAAATGGACAACGAAAATTCAACTTATCACGTGTTTTGATAGTTTTCGATTAATTAATTAATTAAATATATTATTTTGTCCGTGATTTGTCAGTTTTTTATTATAAAAATAATTTGTTTATAAAATCAATCTTGTCATAAATATTTAATTAAATTTATACTTAAAGTGTTAAAGTGACAATAAGTCTAAGCTTAAAATAAAATTAAACTTAATTTTATTTTGAATAATTTATTTATGATTTGAAAAGGAATGTTGCATGTCCGTGAAATATTTTTGAGTTGTCTCAGTTTTTTAAACTTCAAAGAGAATTTTGTAAGACTTAAATTTGTTCAGGAACGATTATGTAAATAATTTATGTTGTGTAAATTTATACATATCAATGGTTTCATTTTACAAAACTAATTAGATTGTATAATATAACCATAAAAAAGCCAACAAATTATGCCAAGTTTAGACTGAACAAATATTAAGTCACGGGCTTAAATATTATTCATACTTTATAAAATGTATTCGGATGATCGTTTATTAGTTAAATATTATTTATTCAATTGGGCTATAAACTAGTTAATTCTAAGTTTAAAACAAAAATAAGTAGCATTTCAACTTAAATTCTATGAAAATCTAAATTATACGTAGAAACTTTTGGGCTGTAAATAAAATTAATTAACTTGTTTAAACTTTTTAATACAAATTAATTTAAAAATTGTTACACATTCTTTTAAATGCCTAATTATTGTTTATCTTAATTGTGAGTGAGATTAAAATTAATTTTTTTATTTTCAGCTTATGTTTAAGTTATAAAGTTCATAAAATTGGTTTAAATAAAAATTGAAAAATTTACAATTTTAAAGGTAAAAGACCGCATTAATTCTTGTTGTCCTACTATTTTATATTAATATGCATTTATCTAATTGTAATGTTTAGTTTAAGTCCCCCAAATATTTAGACAAGTAATTAGAAGTAGATATTGATATCAATAAATGTTCGAAAAATCTGGTTTTATTATTATGTCCTCTTTTATGTTAATCGCTCTATTTAACTGTTACCGTTTAGTAAAAAAATGTTGGTAGGCCAAAATAATTTGTATAGACAAACTAATTCAAGGCTATCGTTTGTCATTATTGTTATCTTTATTGAATTTTTTTTTAGTAAACAAATACTTACTGTGTAAAACGTTGTCATAGTCGCCTTTCTTTCAGTTAGGTATGACTCGAAAAGGACCCGCCCAGTCTTATATATAGAGTAGTTCCCCTCTCTAGATCCGAAGGGGGGATCGCAATTCAACCTGCACACCTTTTGACAGCACTTGTGCACCTTTGTGATGCCCACGAACAGCCTGGGACGGGGTGGAAAAGTCGGGGAAGAGTGCGAGGGTGAATTCGGATCGTAAATTCTTTATTTGGGGGTGACAGGAGAATGAAGAATTGGAACCAGGGTCGCTCGTTGGCCTTTCGTGTAAACTATCAAATTAAGTTAAGTTTCACTATGGAATTTAGCTTCTATTTTGATTTCGCCGGCCCTGATTAGGTTAGATTCAAAATAATTGCTAAATACTGTTGAAAAAAACAAAAACAATATACCGGATGTCCTTTTTTTGATGGCCCGGCTGAATTTCTCTTAAACTAATGACGCTATCAAAAAACAAAAAATACGTATTTAATATTACTTAGTCTAGTTTCAAATTTTTAGCTTTTTTGGAGAAAAATTATGCAAGGCACCATCAGGCCCCGTTCAACTTCAAAATTTCAAACTCCCTATACATCCTTAGAGATCATTTAAAAGGATTCTTTACGCTGAAAGTTATGGCCAAAAGTTTGAAAAAACGCATTTTATTTGTTTCCGTGTTAATTCCAATAATTTGCTTCTTCATCAAATTAAGTTAAGTTTCACTATGGAATTTAGCTTCGATTTTGATTTTGCCGGCCCTGATTAGGTTAGATTCAAAATAATTGCTAAATACTGTTGAAAAGAAAAAACAATATACCGGATGTCCTTTTTTTGATGGCCCGGCTGAATTTCTCTTAAACTAATGACGCTATCAAAAAACAAAAAATACGTATTTAATATTACTTAGTCTAGTTTCAAATTTTTAGCTTTTTTGGAGAAAAATTATGCAAGGCACCATCAGTCCCCGTTCAACTTCAAAATTTCAAATTCCCTATACATCCTTAGAGATCATTTTAAACGATTCTTTACGCTGAAAGTTATGGCCAAAAGTTTGAAAAAACGCATTTTATTTGTTTCCGTGTTAATTCCAATAATTTGCTTCTTCACTAAAGTAAACGTTAATTGCCATTAATGTTTACATTCTGTCATTGTTGGTGAAACCCGTATTATGAGAGCATATCTTAATTCCTGGAAGTAAATGCATTTTACGATAGTATTTTACATTCAGTATTCCATTCAAACTGAACCGAAGAGCATTTTTTTCCGATCTATGGCGAGTTTATGTACGACTGATTTATTTATAGTATACAAACATTGACAAAATATGCTGTATATTTTTTATCCAAAAAAAGGAAAAAATTGGAAACTAGACTAAAAAATATTAAAGAAGTATTTTTTGTTTTTTTGATAGCGCCGTTGGTTCAATCAGCCGGGTCGTCTAAAAAAGAACACCCTTTATAGATTAATTCGGGAGAAAAATTTCAAAACAGATTCAATCCACATTTGTTTAAACATTTTTTTTTACTTTCCACCAGTTTTCAATACATTTCAATTAGCAAAACTTTCTGACAAAAAGCGACTGAAAAAAAGTGTCCAAACTCATTGGTTTAGATCTAAGCCGGCACAATCCAATTTTGACTGTCATTTTTCTCCAATAAAATTTTTATTTCCACGACTTTTTTCCTACCTAAGAAATCATAATATTATTTTGCCTTTATTGAAACTAGGTGTACGAAAATAGATCGGACTTAGTAATTTCAACTTATTCTTCCAAAATGGTGGGATAGCAACACAGATTGCTTAAAAAACCGGCTCAATCCAAAATTTAAACTTCCCTTTAACAATCTGAATAAAATACAACATTGAAAACAATGCCTTAAATGTTTATAGACCTTCTTTTCCTTCCAATAAAAATTAATTAAAAAATTTAGCCATCATGGTTTTTGTGCCTCCCGTAAAAATTTTGAAAATGTTGAAAGCCAGTTTTGGAACTAATCGGCTTAGTTATAACGTAGTTAAAATACCAAAAGGAAAAATTTAAATTAATTTAAATAGACAAATTTATGAAATAATTTCTTTATAGACGTCCTTCGGTTAAGTTCCTCGGTTAACCGCAAGTATATTAAGTTTCAAATACTTAGTTTTAATGTTTAACAAAAACATATTTTCTTAAAGGTAAAAAAATTAAAATAACCCCTAACTTTTTTGCAGTTATGAAGATTAAAATAAAACGATCAAATATCAATTACATCACAGCATTTATGCTACCGGGCTATCACATTCACCTCGGAATGAAAGTCACGTGGCTGTACTCATTAACTGAAATATGCTTGTTAAAATCGGTTCCGGGATCAACGTTAGCCGATAAATCTCATGAAACTATAAGTCATAATATAGGAATTCGGCTAATGTTATCTTTCTTTAGCATTTTACCAGAGAAAACTACTTTTATTTTTCATTTACGGACTGTTATTTACTTAACGATTGTCCCAATCAGGATAGAGAAGAATTTTGTAAAAATGTTTTATAACAGATGTATTCATGGATTGTTTTAATCCGTAAAGAATTATCTTTTCCCAGATTAAAACGCCATTGGTGCTACGGATTGTCGGATAGCCGATCTAGTGAAATCACAGGTGGAAAGTGTTACTTGCTATTCGGGAAATTACACAACTCTAACGTCATACTAAGTGAAATGCTTTCTTTAAAAAAAAATCTATTCATACTACATACTAAAAATATCCAATATATTCAATGGCTTTCGTACTGTCTGGTTAGACACTGTATTTTTACATTTTTCTCACGTTGCATCATATAAAAATGTGTCTAATTTTTAAGCTTTGTTTCTTTATGTCGAATTGATGGTCAAGACTTTCACTTCACCTATTAAATTTTCTGGTCACACTTGGAATATGACGCCTCTAATCATAATAATATGACATCACCGAATCCGTTATAAATGCCATATGATTATACAACGAGAAGAACGAATATGTAAATAAATCCCAGATCTGTTTCACTACAGATTTTTTTCACGGTCGATAAAGAAAAATTATTATCTTCAGTTTTCTATTATTTTGTGCACTAATATCTCTGTTATTACGATTATTCTTTAATAGTTGTGAGTATTGCATCATACAACATAATTTTCATAACAGACGATTCTCCCCATCTCCTGTTATGATACATGTTTTTGACCATCCTGGGTAAACTAGCTACGTACTTATTGTTATTGCACATAATATAAGTCACTCTCTATCAATGTGTACCTATGTATATTATACATCGATGTAAAATATAAGATATATTTTGATTTTTGAGCTACCTCCTAATCAAAACTTCCGAATAAACCTAGGTACAAAAAAGAATAGGAACGAGAGGGAAGCACCTCTTTTAAGAATCGCACCATCCTTTGGTACACAGATGGATGTAGAACACAGAAGGTACAGGGGCAGGAGTATTTGGACCTGGAACCAAATACTCAGAACCCATGGGAAAATACATCAGTATCTTCCAAGCTGAGATTCATGCAATCGAAAGATGTACCCAACTCAACCTAAGTAAAGGGTACAAAAGCAAGAATATAGCTATCATGTCAGATCGCCAAGCAGCCATCAAAGCACTATCATTCAACTAAATATCATTAGTTCAAGGATGGTGCTGAACTGCAGAACCTACTAAACATATTAGATACGCAGAACAAAGTTAGCCTCTCCTGGGTCCCAGGACACATGGGAGTAGAAGGCAATGAGAAAGGTGACACCCTTGCAAGGCAAGGAGCTGCTACACCGCTGACAGGACCTGAACCCTTCTGTGGCATAGGAACCCACACTATTAATGAGTATCTCGGACAGAAGGACAAAAAGAAAATGAGGGAACTATGGAATTCACTCATTGGACCCAGACAATCCAAGTATCTTCTAACCAATTTTGGAAGGAAAGAAATTACAGCATGTGTCAAGGGGAGCAGATATAAACCGCAAATCCTAATAGGATTTCTATCAGGACACTGTAAGTTAAATGGACACTGAAAGAAGATTGGAATAATCCAAAAGGGCACATGCAGATTCTGCAAAGAGGCAGAAGAGACACCAACACATCTACAAACAAACTGCGGAGCTACACTAACCCGCAGGAGGAAATGTTTTGGGATGTAAAATGTGACCATAGAAGAGTTTCAACCAGTGAAACCCGGATTATTAATCAAGTTTCTTGATGAAATAGGACTCACCGATGTACTTTACACAGAGCACGGGGGATACAAAAGCTCTTAAAGGGCGCAGTATACTATACCCTGAAATTACATCTACATCTATATCTACCTCCTTACACTTTTGTTGACTATGATCTAACCTGTTGTATCAATGGCCATAAATCAATGGGGATGTATTACCTTATCTCTGTGTATTTGTATGTATCTGTCATCGTTTCTATTGTTTTTTCTCGGTCAGCCTTTACCACTTCTTATTGAAACTCGGCAAATGTTTTTTAAATTTCATTTTAACTTATCTACATCTATCATCAAAGTTTTAGCATCTACATACATCAAAATAAGATACCAACATATACGGATATAAAAATTATCAGGAGAATCCAGGTAGGTCAAGAAAACCTATGTTCTATTTAGTAGATGGAGTTCTCAGCACTCCTCCATCGACCTGCATAACAAGAACAATAACAAACTATGGGTTCGATGGGGTCCTTTTATAATTATATTTCTCGTTTTTAGTATCACATCTCTTTCTCTCTCTCTCTCTCTCTCTCTCTCTCTCTCTCTCTCTCTCTCTCTCTCTCTCTCTCTCTCTCTCTCTCTCTCTACTAGTTAATTGTAAGAGAGGTCGTTTGCGACCTAAATTTGCAAGAGTATTAAATAAAACTATATTCATTTATTGACTTTTTTTCTTTTTTCTCACTAGTCATTCATCCTTACGTTTTTTTACTATTTTCTCTCTCTCTTTCCTTCTCACTTCCCCTCTCTCTGAACCTTTCAAAAGAAAATATCTAAAACATCTGACGAAAATTAATTTAAAACATTATAAAAACATGTATACATAAATATATTAATGTTATACATTATATTATGTGTTTGCATTCTCTAAA